ACTCCAAGGTTCCTCACAGCATTACTGGAGGCCAAGGTAATGCCATCCAGAGTAAGAATCTGGTTAGATACCATATTTCTAAGATTTTCAGGGCCGAGTACAATAACCTCAGTTTGATCTGAATTAAGAAGCAGGTTTCACAAATCACCTCTAACACTCGACTCCACCCACTCCTACCCTGCATGCACTCTGTTCTTCACCTCTTCTCTGCATGAGTGGGAGGCAGGTATAAACACGTGCATTGCTTTGACTTACGTTCATTCTTCTCCTCTCCAGTACAAACCTGCACCTCTTCAGGCTCTCCTCCACCCACCTTCTACTCTCACTATGGATTTGTATTCTCTGTGAAAATCATAGTCCGTGCAGACTCCTGCCTGACTGCATCTGTCTTCAGTACAAACAAGTAGGGGTCAGAGCTGATAATTGATTTAATCTCACCTCCCCACCTTGAACCCATCTGTCCTACTGCACATCTCACAACCGTCTTACTGTCCTCATACATGCCCTGCACCAGCCCTACATACTTCTCTGCCACTCTGGAATTCCTCACTGCACGCAGCAGTTCTATACTAAGAAAAAATGCAGTTTTATGCTGCAACTCCCCAAATGCACCCCCTGAAAGACATCTTTACCTAAGAATTATTTATTGGTGGCACTGCACTTAGTTGTTTTAGGTCTTATTTGTCAAATAGAACTTTCTCTGTCAGCCTTCTCGGTTACGAATCGTCTTCTGCTCCTCTGTCATGCGGTGTCCCACAGGGCTCAATTTTAGGGCCACTGCTCTTTTTACTGTACCTATTGCCTCTGGGTTCTATCCTTAGAAGGCATGGGATCTCATTTCATTGTTATGCCGATGACTACCAAATTTATTTGCCATTAAAGTACAAGGATGGCATCTCCATAAAACCTCTTTTGACATGTCTAGATGACATTAAAGCTTGGTTGGCTCTAAACTTTTTAAATTTTAATTAAAAGAAAACAGAAGTGTTGGTGTTTGGACCCAGTGGTCCTTGCGAGTCGTCCTCTGTAGATTTGGGACTCCTGGAAGTCTATTTTAAACCTTACTGACCTTGGTTTTAAGTTGGACAGTGATTTTAAATTGGACAACCAAATCAGAGCAGTGGTGAAGTCCAGTTTTTATCATTTAAGGCGACTGGCAAGAGTAAAATCTTTCCTTTCGAGGCAGCACCTTGAAACAGTGATCCATGCTTTTATTTCTTCCTGCCTGGACTACTGTAACTCACTTTATGTGGGGGTCAGTCAGTCATTGCTCTCATGTCTGCAGCTTGTTCAAAATGCGGCTGCATGACTCCTAACAGGAACTCGAAAAAGAGAGCATATAACCCCTGTGCTAGCCTCTCTGCACTGGCTTCCTGTGTCTTTTAGAGTTAATTTTAAAATTCTTATGTTTGTTTTTAAATGCCTGCACAGTCTTGCCCCGCCTTACCTCTCTGAGCTTCTTCATCCCCACATACCCTGTCGGTCTCTCAGGTCAGCTGACCAGCTGCTCCTGGAGGTACCGAGATCCAGGAGGAAGCTCAGAGGGGACAGGGCCTTCTCTATTGTGGCTCCAAAATTATGGAATAATTTGCCCATGCACGTCAGAGAGGCCCCTTCACTGTCCACTTTTAAATCACGTCTTAAAACCCACTTTTATTCCTTGGCTTTTAACCTCAGTGAGACTTAGTTTCTCTTTTAATTGAAGTAGTTATTTAATTAACGATTTCACTCTTCTTTTATTTGGTTTTTATTTATATCTCATGTAATTTTATTTTACAGTTCCAATGTACAACACTTTGTGTCAGCTGTGGTTGTTTTAAAGTGCTTTATAAATAAAGTTGATGATGATGATGAAGAAGGTTTGAAAAAAATGTTTTAACTCTCTGATTCCTGTATGGATTACGTTTATTTAAATTTGTTATGAAAATTATTTTTCCTAAAAAAAAGAAAAGTTGTTCTGGGATTTAGAGAGAACTTTGAGGTCTTCACAATTCTGCATTTAAAGAAATAGAAATTTAAAACACTATAGCCTATGGATATGGTTACTAATCTTATACCCAGGTTGGATTTAAAATGACATCCACAAGCTCATTTGAATGTTAGTTGTTTTCTTTTTTACATTGTGTAAATATAGACTAGGGAAAATAAGCACCTGCATTAGCCTCATGACAAGTAAAATGATGTCTATTTCTTGCTCCAGCGTTTGCATAATATTATAATCCATGCAGTATAGTAATGCCAAGACAGTTTGAAGTCTCTAGTCTGCTTGCAGGCAGTGACACTCTGGAAGTGCTGTTTGATGTCCTTTCACTACACAAAGACAAAGTCCAGTCATTTCTTTTGAATAGTAGCTGCAAAAACAGTAGCCCTATATACCTGATATATGTCACATAGACTTTGGCACTGTCCCACAATAAGCACATGAAATGAAACAGGCTGAATTCAGTGAACTGAAGTCACAGTATTGTGCACTAAGCCCCACTGGTGTACTGTTGTGATTTATGGTGACAACCGAACAAAACACCCATTGTTGTGTTACATTATTGTGAAACCTGTTTTTATGTGTAAGTCACAATGTCTGCACACCCTAAATTTCTGTATATAAGGATATAATGACAGTTCAAAATGTAAGTGGGAAGTAGTTGAGAATTACAGACATATTAAAACCGTTTCTTTCCGTGGTCATTTTGTCACAATGATGGAGGAAATCCTATAGTCACTTGTTGACTTTCACTATAATACTACAACTCAGTTTATTAAAGACCCATCAATGATTTTCTTAGGAACAAGTGTACATGACTGTTCTTCTGAATTAATTAGATCTTATAGTAAAGTAGTACAGCCACAAACTGAGAGAATACAACTGTGTTCATTTTTCATACAGTTATGTCTGATGGTATGGAGGGTGACGTGACTTTGGCTCTGTACGCGAACGTAATAGATTTTCCAATGAAGGAACTGAGATGCATTGGAAACATAGCCTTTGGCTAAAACGTATTACATTTACCACAGTCCTCAATCAGCAGTGTCTGGAAATTATGACCACCATCAAAGAACGTGTGCAGCCTTCACTGAAGCTGTGTTCAGTTGTTTGTTTCAGCGTTTAGTTTCAAGTGAACTACAGCTGGATTGGGCTGAGATTCATTGCAGAAATTCTTGTGTTGCTTTTTCATGATATTTTAAGTCACTGTCCATCTTTTCTGCAAACTACTGCCCAATAACCTTTGCTGAATTTGTCTATATTTGAGCAGACAGCTCAGAACTGATCAGGCTGCTTCTAACTTCTGTCAGATCATCAATAAACACCACAGACCCAATCCTTTAGAAGCCATCATGCTCATTCCTCACACTGCCATCATTTC